TCTGCTTTTGGAATTGATGCTGATCAAAGTATCTGCTATTATTAGTCAAAATTCTATTATTAGTACTAGCGATCATTATACAATAATATTATCATTACATAGTTTTCCTTTCTATGTATTTCGAATTAATATTATCTTCAAATTCTATACTGTTAATATTTTTCATATATATTGTATGTTTAAAGACCTCTTTCAATTGTTTATGTACAAACATATATATAAACGTAAGCAAAGAAAAATTATTGTATGTTCAAAAACCTGTAGCTTGAAATTGAAAATGCATCTGATTATGAATATCTTTTGTCAAGTTGTCTTATTAAAACGAATTGAATAGTTGTCTACTTCACGTTAAATTTCTTCTATTTACTTTTTTGATTGTTTGTATTTTTAGTGTGTTTCTATTATTGCTATTATTATTTTATTTATTTTTTTTCATTGGACAATATTTGCATTGTCAATTGCTTATCGTTGTCATACATTTTCATTTAAATTTTTATTGTGCATCGTGAACTCCTCCTCACAGCTTGACTTTGTACATTTATTCACTACCTCAACGACATTATAAAAATAATAAGAATTTCTTGAAAAATATTTCTTCTCGAATCACTTGTTTGTGTTTATATTTTTGTATTTTATGTTTATTTTTACTTGAATTTTAATTGAATTTTATCACGTGCCATTTTTTGTGTACTTTCCAGCAACCTTTAAATTAATTTCTTTTAATATCTACTTTTCTTTAAAAAAAACTTTGTGCATTTGAAGAGTAGTAAACTTATAACATAATCAATAATTGAGTTAGATTAGATTGCTTTGTATAAATAAACATAAAATATATATATCACATTTGCGCTGTGATAACAAGTCACATGTTCAAAACTTTTTATCTTATATTCTTTAATTTTTTTACAGATCAAATGATTAAGTCCTTTTGATCGTGGTTTTGAGATAATCTGCCATCATATTTTTCGTCGAATTTATAATTAAATATATTCTCATGTATTAATTTTTTAGTAAAATAAAACAAGCACATATGATTATGCGTGACAATAAGTCACGCATAAATTAATGCGTCCCTATTGATATCAGATAGATCTAAACTTCTATTTAGATTTATTAGTAGCCAATGTCAATGTCTATATTTTTGAAAAAAAAAAACACCATTCATTTTTGAAAGATTTTGTACAGCGTGCCTCTGAACCAAGCCCAAGTGAGCTCTAGTTTTAATAAACATATACCGCCCTATTTTCTCTCTTATCCTCATCTCCCAGTGGAGCATAGATCCTCTACCATACTTTTATATCGGATTCTCGGCAGATATCATTCCAGGAACAATTGGTTTCTCTTAGCTCTTGCTCAATTGTCCTTCTCCAAGTTTTAACTGGCGCTCCAGGTTGACGGATTCCACCTCAGAGTTTGGCGTGCAATGTTTTCATTGGGTCTGCGAAGATTGTGGCCTATCCAGCACCATTTGCGTCTTCTTATCCCAACAGTAGCAGGTGATTGAATGTAACGGCCCATAGGTTAATGTTTGTAATGCGGTTGGGCCACCGTGTTCTTAATATGTGACGCAAACATTTGTTCACAAAATATTGTATTTTTGCATCAATCTCTCTTGTTCCAAAGTACACCAGCATAGAATAGCACAGACTTTACGTTGGAGTTGTAAATGTGAAATTTTGTGCGAGTGGAAATTTGGTTAGAATGCCATACAGTCCGAGCCACTCTTAGATCGCGCTATTAGAGCGATCAAATTTCTACTTTTTTTCCGGTGGAAAATCAATACGAAACTCTTATATGATGACAATGTGATCCCAAATGTTCCCAACAAAAATACATTTTTTTAAAAAATAGTGAATGTGGGAATAATATTTTTTTTGACTACCATCAAGAGCTTTTGAAATCTCTTAACGGCTGTTTAAAGTATAATTAGTGATAAAAAAATTTTGAATTAAAAAAAATTTCTGTTTTAAAAAATACAGGTATACATGTAATTTATTAAATTAAATTTTAAATTAAAATTAATTTATATTTGTTTAATATGTCTATTTTAAAAATTATATATTTTAATGTTCAATTATTCAATTAATTATATATTTATTTGCAATCAGCACTTTGGTATTATTGCTAAGAAATTATTCAATTCAATATAAACATATTGGTTCAAAGTTAAGGCCAAATTGTAGAGCTATTGTTCTTTTATATAAATTATTAATCATTTTCATTTTGACAGCACGATGATCAATAGTTTAATAATTTATAATTGATTAATTTTAGGCGTCCATATATTATTTGTAAAAACGTGCAATGTTAATCAATATACCATAAAACTAATCCTTATTTCAGTATTTTGTTTAATAAATCGATAATAATAAAGTTAAAACTTTTAACTTTTAACGACCCACAAAATCTTCCTGTGTGTACTTATTGATCCATATTTTTACCTTATAAATATCGAACAATTAAAAACCATGTAATGCCAAGAACGTTGTGCAAATCTCAATGTTGTAATATAAACATATTTAATAAAAAAAAATTGTTTATTAAATAACAAAATAAGTGTTAATTAATTATTAATTAAATTAGTTTTGTTATTGGTACCCTGAAGATGACTATAGAATATACTTTAAGTGTTGGTGTAAATAAAAATATTTTTAAAAACTAATTTTTTTAAAAAAGTGTATTATGTAAAAATTAACTAATTAACCCCTTTCTAAACACAAAATTATTATTGACAGTTATAAAAATAATTAGATATTTTAAATGAAATTTTGTAATATAATTTCTACTTTATTACTAAAATGTTTCTGCACATAATTTTTTCTAATTAAATTACAGCAATTTTCCAGCTTCCTCTTAATTTCACTACAGATAATAAAATTATTTCATTTGCATATTAAATTTACGTTGTGTGGCACAAAATTTAAATTCCCACAATTTCATAATTAGCGCAATTATAATAATTTATTCGCCCGTCTATTTAAGTCACATTAGTGCATGTGTTCACATGCTGAGTTCGTCGTTTTCGTTTCTAAAATTGGAAGATACTCGGACTATTTTTAGTCTGAACGCTAATGTTGGATTAAAAAGATTTTTGCGAATATTTACTGTTCATTTCATTTAAGCTATTCTGATCTAAACAATAAATTAAAATACTTGTAAAAATTTAAACTATGTGAGATTAGTGCATCATTTGTTTCGGAATGTAAACATTTTAAGTATGAATAATTGTTATAATTAATAAATAAATTATAATCAAGTTTTAATTGCATTTGTAGTAAAATTGTATTCGTAGTACTATTACTTAATCTTAGTATATTATGAATGAAAATTTATGAATGATATGAATGAAAATTTACTAACAATTAAATAACATTTTTTGATGTTTGAATAATTTTATGATATTTTTATTGTATTAATAAAGATTCTTATTGAGTCAGTAAAATAATAAATTATATTTTTGTTGTTAAATAATAATTTATATTATTATAAATAATATAATATAATAATAAAATTACAATATATTATTAAAAATTTTATTGTTTTACTAACATTTATTTTAATTTAATATTATAATATATTAAAATCTTGCTTCTTGTCGTCATTCACGAAATATTTTATATTATATTTAAGAATTTTTTAGGAAAATGACACACTTTTAAAGTAATCTCTTTTATTATGTAGTTTATTTTCTATGTTGATTTTATTCTAAAATTTTACTAAATAGTTCTATTACTGCTTACTGCTTTAAATAAAATACAATTTAATTAAATATTTTCAGAAAATTTATTTATAAATCTGTATGAATTTTTTATTAATATAATTTAAATATCTTTAATATTTAAATAAGAGTTTTTTATTTTCTTATAATTATTTTTAATTTGTATAGTTTCTGTAACTTTTCGATTACGACTTTTTATTATTTTTATTTATACTATAATTTTTTTATAACATAAAACATAGGTATATGTAACATTATAACATATATATCTCATTTTTTTTATTGATTTTTAATTAATAAAAAGGCTGAAATAATCTACTTTAGTACCACTACTCTAAAAATATATTTAAATTTGAAAAAAAAAACACAAAAACATAATCCTTCTCAGTGTGATTACCTCGACACCTATTTCTATTACTGTCCTGTTGTTCTTATATCCTTAAATGCTGTTTCCACACCTAATAGTTTTTCATTTCTACGTGTTTAGAAAAAGTCAAATATGAAATCTATTATGGAATCTATGGAATCTATATGGAATCTATTTTTAAAATAGAAATCTTATAGAAATCAAATAATACCGCCACAAACAGAATAGAATTGAAATGTAACAATTAAAAATAAAAATATAATTTATTAATTAATTCAATTATTCTACAGCTGGTTTATGATTTCGTTCTAATATAATAAAAGTTTCACAGTAACAAAACACCAGAAAAATATGCGAACAAAAAAGTCAAGTACGGCTTTGGATCAGTTGGTTAAGGTGCGCTGTCTCTAAGCTTCAAATTTGGTAGGACACGAGTTCGATTCCTGGTACTTGCAGTCTCAAAAAATTATTTATGAATAATTAAAAACAAGAATTATTTCCAAGACAACTGATGCTGGGTATTTGGCAATACTTAAATCAGCTGTATGGTCAGCCAAATTAATTAAAATAATATAAAATTAATTTTTGTTGTTGTAGTTCACTACTGTTCGCAAAACCTTTTTTGTATATTTTAACTAAAAAACTCAGAAAAGCAATACTTTTCTTAATTTGTTGACAATATCTTTCAAGTGTATGGAGGTCCCTTCTTTCACATTTTAATAAGTAAGATATTAAAGTTATTAATTGTGAATTATATATTATTTACACATTTTCATATGTATTATTAACTTTAACAATAATAATTAATAGTTTTAGTTTTTAGTTTTGTGAATGATTATTTTTCAAATATTAACGTATTTATTTGTGATTTATCGATTTCGCATTGCTCACTTTGTTGTCTTTCTCTCTTTTCAGAACGCTGCGTTTTTCTAAGAAATCGTTAAAGCTGACAAGGCTTTTCAGTTCGAACGTTGACGATGTTGTAATTAAGACAACAAAATATTTTATTTGAAACTGACAATAGCAACAGTAGCGGTACTAAGAGCTAAATCAATGTTTACCTACTAAGGGATACTTACGTGGATTAATAGGAAACAGTAAAAAGGACAAAAAAGCGGAAGGTTTTGGCTTTTTTTTCGTAATTTTAGTTATTGTGCAACTTTCTACACGAACGCACGCCAACTGACTACGTGACATTCAATTGAATTTGTCAAACGGCAAAATGTCAGATTTTTCATCTTATGAAATGGGTTCGGTGGATAGGCCACCAAATCGCTTCCAAGTGAATCCCGTAAATCACAAGAACAACAATGACAAATCAGCGGCAGATGATGTGCCACACGAGGTGTATCGGCGCCTAACAAACAATGATGGCGAACCCATCGAAGATGATACCTTTAATGAAAATGATTCACAACTGCGTAAACAGGAACAACAACCCAAACAGCAGAGGTAAGTGGAAGTGACAGTGACAGTGAAAGTGACAGTCAAAGTGAAAGTAGAAGATTTTTATCAGAAATACTCGTACTTTGGAAACCTTAATGTTCTTCATCATTTCGCAATTTGTGTGTAAATGTAATTTGCCGTAGTGTTGCCGTAGTGTTTATTTAATGGAAAACTTTGTTGTTGACTTTTTGTCGCCAAGTTGTTTTGGCGCGTTAATGTGCACCATGAAATGTTGAAAATGTGAAATGTTTTGGAACAGTCAGTCAAGGATAGCTAAATTGATAGCTAATATCTTATGCTACCGGTTGGTTGTTGCTACATCAGTTCACTTCACATTGCCTATTTTTAGGCAACTTAGACTGTACATAATCGAACCTTAAACTTTAAAGTTAAGAATAATAAATTACGAATGCTTCCTTGCTTTCAAAAATTTGCGGATCACGTCCTAATTTTTATGCATGCAACTTATGCGATATTTAAGTTAGTTATTTGTGGGGGCTTGTTGGCTCTAAAAGTAATATTGTAATATTGTTAACATAATTCAAGAGGCATTTTACCATGTTAAATTCCATCGAATTTATTACCACTGACATTTGCAAACATTTACTGACATGTGTTGATGCCTACACGTCACATGTTCTTAATTTACGCAGCACCCACAGTCATAGCTTCCGGAATATTATAGAGTTTCATTCAGTAAATTTTGAACATATAAGAATTGGTGAAATTTCTATGGCATACATATTTTTCAATCAATTATTCTTAAAATCAGTCTTTTGAAGACGTTTATATTTTTAGATACTGTTTACGTGACACTTAATGACAATTTCGAAACCTTTTTATATATTAACAATTTAAAATTGTTGTAATAAAATTATTTACGTTGCGAACACGACAGGAATTGAAGTTTGTGTTTCCTGGAAATATATTTCAAATTGTATGGAATATATTATTTTGTCATTAAAAAGGTATTTGTATTACTTTTTTTTACCGCTAAAAAAATTGTATTTCAAGCGGTTGAAATATATTTTATTTGAAATATGTCGTTATCATATCGTTGTCAGCCTCTTTCAGAAATTTTAATCGAAATGTATTAATTTTCATATAAGCTGAATCCAAATATATGCTGAATTCAAAATTTTTGATCAAAATGATATTATTTTTATATATCTGCTGAATCCAAATATATGCTGAATTCAAAATTTTTAATCGAAATGTCTTAATTTACATATAAGCTGTATCCAAATATTTGCTGAATTAAAAGTTTTTGATCGAAATGCCATAATTTACATATATGCTGTATCCAAATATTTGCTGAATTCAGAATTTTTGATCGAAATGATATTATTTTTATATATCTGCTGAATCCAAATATATGCTGAATTCAAAATTTTTGATCGAAATGTCTTAATTTACGTATAAGCTGAATCCAATTATTTGCTGAATTCAGAGTTTTTGATCGTAATGATATAATTTTCATATAAACTGAATCCAAATATTTGCTGAATTCAGAGCTTTTGATCGTAATGATATAATTTTCATATAAGCTGAATCCAAATATTTATTGAATTCAAAATTTTTGATCAAAATGCTATAAATTACATATATGTTAGATCCAAATATTTGCTGAATTTAAAGTTTTTGATTGAAATGCTATAATTTGCATGGATCCAAATATTTGCTGAATTTAAAGTTTTTGATCGAAATTATATAAATTACATATATGCTGAATCCAAATATTTGCTTAATTCAAAATTTTTGATCAAAATGCTATAATTTACGTATAAGCTGTATCCAAATATTTGCTGAATTCAAAGTTTTTGATCAAAATGCTATAATTTACATATATGTTAGATCCAAATATTTGCTGAATTCAAAATTTTTGATCAAAATGCTATAAAATACGTATAAGCTGTATCCAAATATTTGCTGAATTAAAAGTTTTTGATCGAAATGCCATAATTTACATATATACTATATCCAAATATTTGCTAAATTCAAAGTTTTTGTTCGAAATGCTATAATTTACATATACATTTATATATATATATATGCTGAATCTAAATATAAATACTTTATAGTAGAATATATGAAAAACTATACTCGCTATTGAAAATATTGCAGCTTTAAGGATACTGATAAAAATATTGAATATATTATTTATTATATTCACTGTCGAATGTAAATAAGCTATATGGATACTGATGATGAACTACTGATGGTAACATAGAATATATTAAAAATTATGCTTCCAATTGAATGTAATATTGCCGTAATGATACATTTGTAGTGCCTAAATTTTGTGTTAACATTGTTTTTAACGTTTATATTGTAAATTTTTGTTAAATGCTCATCTACAGAGATAATAAAATTCAAAATTTTTTTGTTTTGAAAAATTTCTAAAGTATAATAGTTTATATCTTATCTCAACCTGGGCCACACCTATTTAGATGAAAATTTATAATTAAGTAGAATAATCCAAAAATTTACACCCACTATCAAATACATAAAAGTTTACTTTATAATTGAATATCTTATTAAATGAGTTTTCTTCTAACATTCACCGTTTACCTGTAATCATCCTTTGAAGCGATTACCCATTTATTCATTAGTACTCATACGCACTGGGGAATTTGTTTAGTTTTGTTGAAGAAAGCAGTAGGTCGTTTTAAACGAGGATTATAGAAAAACTGTGAGTGATAGAAGAGAAATTTCTTAGCGAAGAACATTTCCTAGATCAAAAAGTGTTAATATAAGAAGAGCAAAAAAAGTGTAAAAGTTTTATAAAATTATCTATGAAATTAATAAAAAATTTTACAATATAAATCAACCACCATAACTTTTGACTTTATTAAAGTATTATATTTGAATGAAACATGTAGCAAATATTAAGGATTTTTTGAATGCATATTTTTAAGTGTATTTCTTTTGACACTCAGCAGTTCGGTTAATATTGAAAATGGATCCCTTCGCTCGTAATATTTTTTTCGGTTCTCAGACCAAGGAATTGCTAACACCGTCTAAAAATATTTGACATTATGGGACGTTAAGTGAAAATCAAAACTATGTTAATGTTAATGTGTATAATAATAAATAAATAATGAATATTTATTTTAAAATATCAATATTACTTATTTACAAATTTTAAAATATTTTTTAATAAACGCTTTTTTCATAAATATTTGCCACTTACAATTTTTTGTGAAAAAGTAGTTTGCACTTTCACTTTGTATAGATTTTTGCATATAATTTTTGTTTTAGTTCTTATTTTTTTATTACTTATTTTTTTACTTTATTACATACTTTTTGTCATATTACATATATATAATTCTTTTTCATTTTAAATATTTCTTTTAGAAATGAAGATTATTAAGTATAGCATACCTTCGTAATAGCTTTCTTTGTTTTTCGCATTGAACTTAACCGATTCTCTATGAACTAGAATACCATTTAAAATGTAGATGACCAGTGGGTGTGTGAATCAATTTAAATATATTCAAAAATATTTGTTTTTTTATATGACATACATATATGAACTTACAATTAATGTAAATTGAATAGATGCTTAATAAACATTTTATTTTATCAAAAAGTAAAATGCCTTTAAAGTTAGATTAGGTGGAAAAACCTAATTAATTCTTAAATATGCTTTAATATGAACTCAAGTATATGAATGAATAGTCGAATATTAATATTTTTAAATATGCTTTAAAATATGCTTTAATATGAACTCAAGTATATGAATGAATAGTCGAATATTAATATTTTTATTCGGAAATATTTAAGCGCATAATATGATGTTTATAAGTTAATGCGAACGTAGTTAAGAAGACTATTCTTAGTCTTCTTGGCAAAGTTGAGATCTGTTAAATCCATTTTTGCAAAATGGCTGATGATAAAACGATTTTCTAGATAGTGAAGGCTATATTGCTGGTTCAGGATTAACAAGTAATTAATATATACCACCTTCTATTTGTATACAGTAGGCATACAAATTCCAGGTTTGATAAAATTTAAATCTCTTGTTCTTTTCTTATCTTACCTGTTTAATAAGATCTTAAACAGTGAATCCAACTGTCTTAATAGTTCTCATGTCTAGGTATGTATTTAGATATATCACCATTATTTGTGGTCAAAAGTAAACACATTAACCATTCGAGAGCAGCTTTTTGATAACACGGAGGCTTATTCTGAAAGAGTAAATATATAATATAATTTCGATGGCTTAAAGAGTTTAGAATGCTTGAACTGAATGGAGATATAGCGACTTTCTGTGGCTTGAAATGATATTCTTGCTTGAGCGAAATAAAAGTCACAAAGGCTATATTATTATGTGGAAATTATTTTATTCTATTGTCTTAATTTCTTAAGCCGGAAAACTTGAAATATGTTCTGGAAAAATATTTCTTTTTCTGTATAATTTTCTAATGTCAATAGTTTTGAACTCAATTCCAGCTTGCTGCGTTGAATGAATGTTGACGACTTCAGAGAATATTTTGAGAAATAACTTAAAAAAATGTTAAAAAAATTTCTTAAAAACTCTTTGACTTATCCTCGTACTATTAAGTTTAAAACTAATGTCAGCATTTTAGTTTTATTAATATTTTTATCTTTTTACACATTATGTTTTATTTCGTCATATGTGCATATGTGAATAAATCGACACGCCTCTGTCTTTTGCACAGTAACTTCAGAAGATTGCAGAGCATAAAAGTTTAAATTGCAAATTTGTCTGTAAAATTGCTGAAGGTAATTGGCTTTAAATACTTTTAATGATTATTACAAAAACTTTCTGAATTTCACTTTATAAAAAGTTTTTGTTTTATTCAAACTTTGGGAATAATGAAATGTATATATAATAAATTACATGTACATGTGTTTAATATATTGTGCTAATCTCTCGGATAAAAGTTCAGCAATCCTTCAGTTTCAAGTTCAATGTCGGATTTTGTTTACTAAATCTTTTTTAATAAATCCTGAAAGCGTTAATGTCTGCGTATATTGCTTTAAATTTATTATGTTGAAGTGCATATATATAAAATATTTTATTATTTTTATTGAAAGTGAAATTAGCTACTCAAATTCTAAACCCGGTTTTTAAATGTTTTGTTATTTAAATTAAATGCAAAAATCTTATATTTTTTGTTGTATTTATTATTTTATGCATTTGGTTTTACTTGTTGCTTTTGTTATAAAGTGATCAGCTTACGTATTGTGTAGATTTAATTAAATTAAAAATAATTATTTAAAAAATAATTTTTATATTATATAGTTAATATCTGTTGAAATATATAATCATTAAATTTATATTGTTATAAAAATGTTGACTGATATAAAATATCTTATATGAGAATTAGTATTGAAAATTATAATAGTATTTTATATCTGGTATATATTTTGTAATAATCTACAGAAGTATTTTCAAGTTAAAATAAAGCAAATAAAATTTTTAAATATAATAATATCAAATAAAATATTGTACACATACTGTGCATATCATCCCTAGTTAGTAAACATATATATATATTGTAACGACCTTTCCGGCCTCTACCGCGGCCGGGGTATACTCAGCGTATACCAGGGTTCAGTACAAAAAAAACTCAACAACCAAAAATTTAATAGGCCAAATTAAATTACAAATAATTATAAAAAAAAAATACATTACACGATTTATAACATACTTCAATTAATTATATTTAAATTTCATGGATATCTTAATTATTATATAAAAGAACTTAACTCGGAGTACTTTCAAAAAAACTAAGTAAATAAATAATTAATGTAATAGGTAACAGTATTCATTTAACATACTTTAATTAATTATATTTAATTATCATGGATATTCTTAGAAAATTAAATAATACTTCAAAAAAACTAAAACAAAACATACTTCAAAAAAAACTAAGTATGTAGATAGTTAATGCACTAAGTAATTCATTTAGTTATTATTGCTATTCTGGCAATTGATGCCTTATTGTTATTAACGTTCGCGCCACTGCTGCTGTTGCCGTCGCCGTTGCTGTTCCAGGTGTCAGTTTGATTTTATCACATTCAATGCATTCGATAATTGATTTATTGATATTACAAAAAAAATTCCATTTGATATATATTATTGAAATATAAAAATTATTAGATGTTAACTCTTTTCTATTGTTTAGTTTCGTATTTATAATTTAGTTAGTAATATATTTGAATTTCTTTAAACACTTCATTTAAGTAATTTATTTTATTTCTCTTGTATTCTTTGCGGATCACTGAAGTTAAACTCTGTCATACGTTCTGCCCGTTCCGTTCAAAAAAAACTCCACCAAGAAGCTAGAAAATCCTCCGAATGCTCCTTTTATTTACTTTTTTATAACTGCTTAACTCATACTTTTTAATCCGCCGTTTCTCGGTCAATGCACTTAATTAATGTTTTCTACTTCGAGACTCACGAAAGCTTTCCATTATTTTGTTATTGATTCTCTTACCTTGCAATGTTTACGCTGCATTCTCAGCTTCTCTTATTACTCATTGCAACTTTTGGAGATCAAACGAAAATTAACAAAACAAATTAAAATGACATTTCTCACGTTGTTATTTTGTTTTGATTTTTTCTTTTTTGTTCCATAAATGTGTTTGAGTGCTAGTTTCTTTTTTTTCCTAAATAACAATTAAAATTCTATTATAATTAAAATTCATTGCAAACGAAAGTGAGACCGACAAACCAAAAGACCTGTTTGCGAACCAGTCGTGAGGATTCGAGGTAATATCTATGAAATATTTGACATTCAGTGTTTTTAATTATTCATTTATCCTAGGTCCTCAACGCTGTAAGATCAATTTTTATTTTTACTTCAAAAATTGATCATTACAATATAGATGTATACACTCATAGTAGTAGTACACTCATAAAAAAATGCTCTAACCACATACTAGCTAAATTGACCTGATCATTTTGTTAGAAAAACTGATAAAAACCATGGTTGAACCAACTTGAAGCATCGAGTAAAATTATTTTGTCCTGAAATTTAGTTAAAATTTGGTTAAAACAACCAAATTATTTTTCTGATTGCATGCAATTAACAGGCACGGGAACTTTAACAGTTGAAAGTGTGTCTGTTATCTGGTTTAGCATAGAAGTATGTAATATGACAGATCACATTAACATGAAATTTCTTTTCGCCAGACAATTCGTATGATTTATTTCCTGTCAAATGGATTGGAAGAATGGCATTCCTATTGTAGAACTTATAGTGATCTCGCAGTATACTTACGGCTTTAGAACTAAATAAATTGGTACATGAATCTTAAGTCCCAATGGCAGATGATGGGTGTAGGGCCTACTGTCTATAACCGGAGCTATCTGCTATCAAGATTTGCGTTCGAGTCAACTTTACTAAAGGCTTAAGAAGTGCCCATATCCAAGCATCAATCGTCGAGAATTTAGGTAGAGTGTTATTACATGTGACAGCGATTGGCAAGAAAAAACAAAGCTTTGGGTTTTCAGAAGTTTTTTTAGCGAAATATGTTGAACTTTTCTGGTATGCTGCAATAATTGACAAACAAAAACAAAATGGTTACTTGCTAGGTGTCTGGTCACACAGAAATCAATGATAATGAATTTGCAAATAATTTAGTAAGAACTGAAGCAGCCATGCGATTGTTGGACCAGAAAATTAATGCTTAATAAATTGGTCCACAGCAAGTTTCTAATAAAGAATGATTTGTAACCCAAAAATGTCACCACTGACGTTACACCCCAAATAACTGTCAGGTGAAACAGCTGCTTCTTCCATACAATTATGATAGGGAGTTGCTCTTCATATAATCTGTTAATAATATCTCTCCTATATTATTAACAGATTATCTGACGGGTCATCAATATATCAAAAATGCCTAAAAAATTTTTTTAAGTACCTTTTAATTTAACTTATAGTTAATTTTAATAACTTTGTAGTTACGAGGGCGGTTTGATAAGTCAGTGACTTTTTGAATAAAACAAATTATATTCGGCAAATAAACATTTTATTTTTCTACATAATCACGTTTTAGCTCGATACATTTAGTTCATCGTTTTTCTAATTTTCTTATTCGCTCCAAATAATAGGTTTTTTCAAAGCCCTCAAAATACGCGTTTGTTTTGGTAATGACTTCTTCATTGGACCCAAATCTCTTACCGCTCAGCCATTTCTTTAGGTTTGGAAACAGAAAATAGTCGCAGGGGGCTAAATCTGGAGAATATGCTGGATGGGGTAGCAGTTCGTATCCCAATTCGTAGATTTTTGCCACAATGCTTAATCAGCACACGAAATTCACTTTTTTCCATTTTCGTAAAAATTCACGAGGTTGTCTGCTTTGAATGGCTATCAAACACCAACTGAACGACGTAGCTTGTTCAAAATTAAAAAGTTGTCCATTGGTAGATTACAGCTGACGGCAACACTGTTGCATTTGGAGTAACTGCGCGAGAAATTCAAAAAGTCACTGATTTATCAAACCGCCCTCGTATTTTCATTAAATTTTTTCTTGAAATATTAGGTGTTTTATAAAATAAATAAATTTTAAATATTTACACATTTTTTTTAAAAACACACTTGTTATATTTAATGATAATAATTATTTAAAATGGTTTTTTTTCCATTTCATTAATTTTTGATGTTGTTAATTATTTGTCATTTTTATGCTAAGGCCGTATTTAATATTTCATGAAATTCTCTTATGTGATTAATGAAGATACTTTCCTTCGATATTTTTTCGCTTAAGTAACTTTCTTATTACGACAAAAAATAGTTTTAAGACTCATTTATTTTGCTGCCACTTGCATTGATATCAATCTGTGGAGAAAATAAATTGCTGCAATTGAGCACAATAGACTGGGCAACATTTTTTGCTAATTAAGTAGCACAAAATAAATTTTTCCTGTTTTTCTGGCAATTAATTATACACTTTGTAATATTTTTTCAGTCATTAAACACATTTCGACATTAATATTTAGATTTATTATTTGCAATCGTGTATTTTATTAATATTTGATATGATTTTAAATATTTTAATTTGTTTAAAAAATATTTTGGTTTTTATTCATTCATATATAGACAATCTATCAAAAGTAGTTTTCGCGATAAGGATAAACCATCACGTTTTAAGGATTTACAAACGACACGTTTTCAAGTAGCACCACAAAATGAAGATTCAGATGACTCCAATGATTCCAAAGAAGATCGTGAGCTGCTGGATAATGAATATGATACAAAATATGGTAAAAGCTTTCGGTAAATGAATTAAATATATGCATATATAATTTTTATAATATATTTTTTAAATGTGTTCTAAACCTTTGCAGACATTTTACACGTGAAGCTTTACCACGTTTGGATAATTATCGTAATATTATGTCAATACAAGCTGCCTACCGTCCTACACTTGATGAACTACACAATGCAACCCTAACTGGCAAGGTGAGTTAGTTTTGTGAATTGTTGTAAGGGAAGTCTTTTAAAGTTCTAAAAATGTTGCTCTAAGTGAACTTAATATATAAGATAGGAATACAACATAGGATATATACTTAGCATCTGTTCCAAGTGATAGTCCAATCAATTTTAATTTGTTTAATAGCGTCAACTTCATCTCTTTGCACTTTTGATCAACCAGTCTGTGTGCGGTTGTTATTGTTGCTGTGATGCGCAGAGATCTCTAAAACATATGACATGAAAAGAAGTACATAACAAATACATGGGTTTGAATGTAGATGGGTAATGGTTATGTGAGAGCAGAGTGGAGTATTAGAAAGTGGGTGTGTATTGGAAGGATGGATGAGATTTAAATTGAAGTCAACCAGGATGAAAATGGAGAAACTTAGCCACTCCTATGTGGCGGATCCAAATACATCTCGGTGGGAGGACTCTATTAAACATGATGCCATTGGAGTTGAAGTGTCCATCTGTATGGCACGTAAGGAGAAATTGCTTAGACGACTGCAGTTGATTCTGGGTTTTTACAAGAAACATTTTGGATTTTGTATAAAAATTGTCAGCATGTGACATGCGATTAAATTTATAACCTCTTGTGTTAATATGTCTTAGAAAAGCATTTTGTGGTTGAAATACTTATCCAAAAGACTTGTACCGACATTAATAACAGTTGCTACTCCATTCTAATATTCATTGTTTTGACAAGAAATGCTTAAATTCAATCATACTCTTAATAATACTGAAAAACTATAACTTCAAGTTAACCATAAAATTAGTTAACGTATAAAAAAATGTATGATTCTTAAAAAAATATTAGATGCATATAAGTTCTTTTATTCTTACTGAAAGTGACGATTATTAAACACTAAATCTCTGAACTAATATATAGTTAATAATTTAACTATTATCAGTTAATCTCTGAACTAACTAATAACTTTAAAAATCAATCAAAAATAAAATATTCCGTTAATTTATATTATGATTTATATAAACATATTCCATCTATGATAACCTTGTGCAGTACAAATCATTTTCTAATTCTTCGTGCTTAGTTTAACAGAGTGAGAATTGCAATCAATGCAATAACTCAGCTTATTTAATTGAAATTTGCAGTTTTGCTTATCAGCAATAATTGCATCGACATTTGCATCACTTGTAAGCAATTATATCAGGCATATTTGAAGCGCATCAAATTAAATTCGATTTGACATTTTACAGTACAATTGCATGGCCAATTATATGTGCGCAGTAAAACATGGCTTCATCAGCTCGTATCTAGAAATAAATAAGCTATTTCAGTGCCTCATGCACATTTAGCCGTTCTTAAACAGATGCAGATTCATTGGTCCCACAATAATTAAAATAATGTACAATGCAGCTATGTGCATTTCAACAGCATCCAGAAGACACAATCATTTAACCTTTGATTTTAATTTGTTTTTTTTTTGAATTGTTATTTAATTAAATTTTAGTTAGTAAAAAAATTAATTTCATCCAAAAATATTTTTAATATTTGAATTTTAAAAAATTACTATTTCTGTTGAGTTTTTTTTTCTCTAGTTAAAAGAAAAGAATAAACTTTATTAGGTGACAAAGATTAGTAACCCAAACCTCCAGTGAACGCTCTGAGTCATTAATTTTTCTATTTTTGTAGTAATTAAGTTCAATTTAAGTCAATTGATTGATTCAATAATATAAGAAATAATTTATCGAGTTAAATATTATTTAAAGCTATTTAAAAATTTTTCGTATCAAAACTGAGTCATCTGTCTTTATATATGATATGTCCATCATGTTTTCAAGACTAAGCTATAATATGTATGTATAAAAATAAAAAAAAAAAATAAAAAAAAATAACAAAAAATATATATAAATAAATAATATGCTGAAATATTTATTCATTATCATCATTATGAGTTACTGTTCGCATTATTCTTATGGTCTTCTCTAAAAATCTGCACAAATAGGCTTTTTGATATTCGGCCTTTAAGTCTGAATGAAATAGTTTCTCTTCTACTTGTATGATGAATTGTTATCTATAGTGATTCAAAGGTATTAGCCAAATTGCTCACTTCTTCACATGCCCGTCTTTAAATTGCTATTTTTAACGCTAGTTTCAGTAGTTTGTACTTGACAGAATTTAGCTATAATATGGTGAATATACGAAAAGAGCTCTGCGAGAATTTATTAGATAAATTAAGTTGAAATTTACAGAGCCAAGAAGTCGCACATAATCAATATGTGATTACTCCACTGATTACTCCGCAAGCTGGAATGCTTTATCGTGCAGTTCAAAGTTGTAAATTCGTGTATTTTTCTGAATATAACATTAACATTTCGATAATTCTTCTATAGAATGATTCATCTTGGTATGTAGTGATTATTATTGTTGGTTTGGGTCTTTTGAAGATAATCGATAAATAAAATAAAATTCCAAACGCATCCTATAATACATCCTATAATAGTATGATCTTACCAACTATTTATGGCGCTTTTGGCCAATTTGTCGGCTGTTGTTCACTTAGCTTATTGCCGATTCGACTCTGTAGTTAAGTGATAGATTTAAATTTCGTCCATTGTTATATATTGTCTAAAAAAGTGCTTTTTTTCTCGCTTCAAGAAATTTAAATAACCCTCAGAATAATCCAATAGTTTTGTTTTTGGATAATTCTCAGCAAACGCGGCACCCACATCCAAAGGAGTTTTTTCATAGACAACTGATCATGAAAAATGAAGCCAACACTTTACTTAGATAATCAAGTAAAACTTAATAAGTTATGATAACACAACGGTGCTCCATATATTGAGCTACAAGTTGCTCCAAGTCAGGCTCTCCTGAAAAAGGCTCTTCAATGTGCCATGGTATATCCGCACGAATGACATGCTGAGAGACCTTAGAATAGAGCCGGTCAAAAAATACATAAAGGACAGAGCCCTGAAGCTATATGCGAAAACCCACAGACTGCCCTAATTAGCACTATCTTATCTCAGTGTAATCACTAACCGGACGGGTCAGTATGCAGATTTTAGATCAGTCATGGAGTAATCACGAAGCTTATGAGGAATACACAAATTAGTCAATGAGATGGGTGGGACTCTACAGAAATCCACCAGTTACCAAAGAGTAAAAGTGCCCCTGATGCACTAACTATGAGAAGGCTCAATATAATAATAATAATCTATCTAACCAAATCAACATTTTAATTGAGTTAAGCTTTGGGCAAGTATTATAATTTCGTAGTATTTTTCTATTAAATTCATATTATGTTTTGCTGCTTTAACTTAATCTGAAATACAAATATGTTAGACTTGCCAACACCACGTTATCAAATCTCAGAATGGTTACAGGCTCCTCGGGGAGGTATGCAGATCTGAGGTCAATTATTGCTTAGTCTGATAAAGTGATAAACAATAATCCAGTCAATGCGTAAACAGGGGTTTTAAAAATACCTCGAGTTAAAGGAAGAGTAAAAGTGCTCATGTGCACTGGCTCAAATGGAAATAAATAAACAAATTAGAGTTAAGTTGTGTAGAACAATTGATTAATTTATTTGAACAATATTTATTCAATTTCAATGTTCCATTAAAAGAGGTAAAACTTTTCTTATGGACTTCAAATAAAAGCTTTCAATTAAACTTACTTGTTGTTTTACCATACCAACATTAATCTGTGTAGATATTCTTCCAAGTAAATATAAAAGATATCATCAGAAACCACGTGAATCAATTTGTATGAATTTTCGTAACGAAATACAAAACTTTTGTTTATGTTAAGCATTTTAAGTGCCTTTAATGAAATTTTATTTTTTACAAATGTTCTTTTTTCCTTTCTCAACAAAGGTCCTTTGTGTTTTCTCTTCACATCGCAAATTATTGGGGCTAATTTGCGTTTTATTTCACAAGGATTTGTGGAGTTTCATTTGTTTTCAATGGAAAGGCGTTCACAAAGTTTGCAATTCGTTTGTCAATGAAAATGAATGTTTATGAGAAAAGACTGAAAAGCTTTACTTGTAAGCAGCTATCCTGCTTAAATGATTTGGGTAGATTTCCTTAACTTAAACCTTAAAATGATTCTGAAAAGTTTCATACTGTGATAAAGTACAGAATTTTGGAATTTTTTGTGAATTTTGTAAGCCATTAACGTTTTATACTATGAAATTGATTTTTAATAAGCTGTTTATGACTGAATTGCTATAATAGCATTAAATTACTGAGCAACAGGATAAAATCTTTCCAAAATAGAATAATTTATTGCGAAATTAACAATAATAATATGTCTTTAAATATTTTTTATTTATGTAGAATACTCATAGTTTAAACCGCAATGAAGATATAGAAGCTGCTGTCATGAAGGGCATGTTAAAGTTTGGTTGGATCAAAGGTGTCCTGATACGGTGTCTGCTTAACATTTGGGGTGTTATGTTATTCCTGCGTCTGAGTTGGGTAGTTGGACAAGCTGGTATATGGCAAGGATTTGTTTTAATTTTGACTACAACAGCGGTGACAACTATTACAGCGTTATCCATGTCTGCGATAAGTACGAATGGTGTGATAAAAGGAGGTAGGTTCATTGTATTTTGTATAAATTTATAAATCTTATATTGTTTTATTACATTTCTCTTAAGGTGGGACATATTATATGATATCACGTTCGCTTGGTCCTGAGTTTGGCGGTTCCATTGGTTTAATATTTTCACTGGCAAACGCTGTTGCTTGCGCGATGTATGTGGTTGGTTTTTGTGAATCCATGTTAGACTTGCTAAAAAGTTTTGGTGTTAGCATTATCGATGGTGGAATTCAAGATGTGCGTATTATTGGCAGTATTACTATATTAATACTACTTGTGATAGTAGTCGTTGGCATGGAATGGGAAGCAAAGGTATGTAAATAAAATTCATACATTTCTATCTACAATTAATTTTCTTTCTTTTCTTGAATTTTAATTTTAATTTTTAGTTAAAGTTGTAGATTTTAAATTCTGATTTTTATTTTTATTATAATTAATTATTAAAATTTTATTAATAATATTTAATATTTTACATTAATTAAATTTCAATATTTATTTTATTTTTAAATTTTATAAAATGCATTTTAATGTTATGTTGAGTTTTATAATTAATTTGTTATATAGTTTTATTAATAAGATTAATTTACTAGGCACAAATTGGTTTGCTTATCATACTTTTGATTGCTATTGCTGATTTTATGATTGGTTCTTTTATTGGTCCTAAAAGTGATGGTGAAGTTGCTAAAGGATTTTTAGGTTATAATAGTAAGTTTATACACAAATTCGGCATGAAATCACTTTTTTATTTTCAATTGTATTTTAATATTTAGTGACGACGTTTAAAAACAACTTTTTCCCTGCTTATAGAGAAGATAAAGGCGTGAGGCATGACTTCTTCTCCGTATTTGCCATATTCTTTCCAGCCGCAACTGGCATTTTGGCTGGTGCTAACATATCTGGTGATTTAAAAGTAAGTACATTTTCTATAAAATATTAAAGGTTCAGGTAATGAGGTATCAGTACTTGTAGCTACTATAAATTTTATGCATATTTTTAAAATTAATTATTATAAAAATGATTAAAACTAAATATTTTACATTATCTATTTTTTTCAAATCATTAATTTGAATTTTTTCATAAAAATTTACATATTCTAATTTTTAATTATTCTATATAAATTTAAGGATCCACAAAAATCTATACCAAAAGGCACCATATTAGCTATCGTGATCACAACAGCAACTTATTTGATAATGGTTTTGCAGTGTGGTGGCACTGTGGTACGTGATGCAACTGGTAATGTAACAGATATGGTAAATGGTTCTTTCGCATTTTTAGATTGTTTACCAGGTAAGAAAAATTTATCTTTTATTATTTTGTTATTAATGTATAAAATACTATATTTATTTTATTATTGTTGTGTCAGGAGAATGTGAATATGGACTTCAAAACTCATTCCAAGTCATTGAACTTGTATCTGCTTGGGGACCACTAATCTATGCTGGCTGCTTTGCTGCTACATTATCATCTGCTTTAGCTAGTTTGGTATCCGCGCCTAAAGTATTTCAGGTAAAATTAAGATATTAAAAGCTAGTTACAATATTAACACAAAAATATATAAGTGTTAATATATCTAAGTGTTAACATATCTCTATTACTAATTAATGTACATCAACGGATATATAAAGTATTCTAATTTTTTTTTTGAATTAATTAACATACTTTGCGGTATCATAAAATTTGCTTTAATTTTATTTTAATTATTTTGCAGGCTCTCTGCAAAGATGAACTTTATCCAAAAATAGTTTGGTTTGCCAAGGGTTTTGGTAAAAATAATGAACCAGTCCGTGGTTATGTTTTGACATTCGTCATTGCTGTCGCGTAAGTCAACATCTTGTGTACCGAACTATTTGTTTGAAAACTTTATTAAACTACATTTCAGTTTCATTTTAATTGGGGAGTTGAATTTAATTGCACCCTTGATTTCCAATTTCTTCTTGGCCGCATACATGTTAATTAATTTCAGTACATTCCATGCAAGTTTAGCTAAACCAGTTGGTTGGCGTCCTACCTTTAAGGTGAGTATGCTATCTCTCAAATGGCTTCAAAATAACTAATGCAATATCTCAATTAATCTGTAGTATTACAATATGTGGCTTAGTTTAGTTGGAGCTGCATTGTGTGTGGCAGTTATGTTTCTTATCTCTTGGGCTACGGCTCTTATTACATTTAGTGCTGTATTGGCTTTGTACTTAATTGTGGCTTATCGTAAACCGGATGTTAATTGGGGTTCAACTACACAAGCTCAAACATATAAGAATGCTCTTATGTCAGTACAGCAATTGAATAATGTTGAGGAACATGTAAAGAATTACAGACCGCAGGTAAATTTGGATATCACGAATAAACAAATAATATGAGTTCTTTTTCTGAAATACGTTTTCTAATTTTAGATTTTGGTGTTGTCTGGTTTACCAAATACCCGACCTGTACTCGTAGATTTCGCCTATATGCTAACGAAAAATTTGTCTCTACTTGTTTGTGGTCATGTCCTGCGTGGTTCCAGCTCTCAACGTTATCGTAATTATTTGCAAGAACGTGCATCGTCATGGTTCCGTAAACATCGTGTAAAGGGCTTTTATTCATTAGTGGATGGTGAAGATTTTGAATCTGGTTCAAGAGCACTAATGCAGGTAATTCGAAAAGATTTCTGGCAATTTAATAATTATGTATAAAAATTGTTCAATATTATTTGTACTTTTTTAATTACTGCACTCACTTATTTTAATTAAATTCTAGGCTTGTGGTATTGGTAAATTAAAACCAAACATTTTACTTATGGGCTACAAAGCGGATTGGCAAACATGTGAGCGCAAAGACTTAAATCAATACTTCAATGTTATGCATAAGGTATGTTGTTATATTCGTACGTATAAGTACGAGTAGTTGAGCGTATCCTTTATTTTGAATATACCTATTTGGTTTTACAATCTGTAGGCTCTGGATATGTACTTGTCAGTTGCAATTTTACGCGTTCCCAATGGTTTTGATTGCTCGCAAATACTCGGTGATGAAAGCAGTGCACAAAGAAATATATTGGATATACCACGCACTTTGCAACCAAATGAAAGCTCTGCAGATTTAAATTCAGTTGAACGTAATGCACAAAATGGTTTAAGTGGTAGTATGGATTCTTTGAGCCGCAATGTATCGCAAGGTAAGTAGTTTATTACGCATTGAACATAATCTTAATTAAGCTAATTAAGCAGTATATATATTAAAGTACTTCAAAAATTTGTACGAATGTGTATCGATTCAAATGAAGAAAAATACAACTATTTTTTGTATATAAGTTTCCGGGAAAATGGCTTAATTGTAAACCTTTTTACATACGGTAATTTATGTTTTTTAAAGAAAGAATTAATTGTATGTAATTTAATTAGTAAATTATATTATGATTCATAGTAAAGAACTTTTTTTAGATACAGTGACAACTTTTATAAAAGTAAATTTTTATAATTAACTCAAAATTACATTCAATTAATAACAGTTAGCATTAGAAAGTTTTTAATTTAAGTATCTGTTTAAAATGTGCAGAAATATTCGTAAAATTTTTGTAGAAGTGCTTACATTAGTATAGGATAAAAATATTTTATTAGGTTTTTAGTTTATATAAATTAGAAAATTAAATGATTTAATACGAAAAGAGTTTTTATAACTTATTCATTAAAAATAATAGTAATTCCGTAAAATTACTCTTTGGTCCAAAACGCGAAAACAATTTTTTAATAAACTATTGTAACACCGACTGTGTAGATATATGAAGTGAGAAAGAATTAGAAACATAATAAGGTTCCAAGTATTACTGGGTCTATGACACGAAGCCAGCCACTTGTCAATTTAGACAACTAAATACTGCATTTCATAGTATATATGAATTCATAGTTTGTGTTAGATTGTTTATCTGTATCTACTTGTAAATACTAGTATACTACTAGTAGTATAGTAGTATACTAGTAGTAAATAGTAAATACTACTAGTAAATAGGGAAACTGTAAATAAGGGATCTAACTAATTTATGAAGATAGTTTATGTCATGAAAATAGTTTCAAGAATGATCATCACGGAGAGTCACTTGTCGAATTCGACGACCAAGTGCCATTCAACACATCCAAAATAAACTACAAAAGCAAAATCTTGCGAGCTACAATAACAACGTCATAAAGAACGTGGATCACCAAGTACTGCTTACTAAGCAGTGTTATGAGCTAAAACCTTTCTTCGGAGTTTATAATTGCTTATCTATATTTTCTCTGTTTATTAGTAGAATTAATTTATGATATCTTGGAAAGCAATTGACACCACATAACACTTATTAGGCGGGATTAGTAGGTGATACTTTGAATAAAAACAAGTATGAATTTTTGTGGAAGTTTAATTATAATGTTTAGTTTTAATATTAAATTATTCTAGATAGTCTCGTTTTGTATTGCTAAACTTGTAGACTTTTCTATTCGTACAAATTTTTGAAATGTGTAAAAAATGTTATTTTATATTTATAACATTATTATATATTTTATATAAAATATTTTTTTTTAAATATCATATATATACTTGCTATATTATTTAAGCATGTTTATTATAAAATAAACTAATTTATAAATTTCCTCAAATATATTTGCATGTGTAATAAATAAATATTATAATATATGAAATATATGCACATGTATATATAAATATATATTTAAAATTTGGCACTTCCTTAATATATACCAACACCAACAACCGCATCAATTGCACATTAACAATCAATTGGCATCCAAGATGCTGGAGAATCAACGCAGAACAATGAAAATGGCTTGAAAATGGTTAAATGTAAGTAGCGCGTTTTATTTAAATAAATATTTAATTAAAATATTATTGTTTTATTTAATTTTATTCAATATTTACAAAATTATTTTGGTAAATTGTTAAATGTTTTTGTCTATTATTTTCAATTATTTTGATTGCTTGTAGGGCGGCTTAAGAAACGTTTGCTTAGCGTACGTTTTCGTAAAGGTGATATATGTTGATAATTACCAATTCTTCAAGCTCGAACTTTCTTCAAAACAAAAAAAAATTACTTTATTTTTCTGACTTAATTTCTATCTTTATATATACAATGTATATAAACTTTTTATAGTCGACTTATAAAAATTATTAGAAATGCTTGCTCTCTAACTAAAATACTAATATTAAGTCTTTGTCTGTGCAACACTGCGTATGATGAATTATTTTATACGTTTTTAATTTTAATTATTTTATACGTTGTAAACCCACAAAGGTTTAATTTGTTACCTAATATTGTGGGGTTAGGATATAATGAGATATTGGAAATTTCAAACCAATATATTATAGTTTTAGTTGTCATATTATATAGTTTTTATTATTCAATTTAGATAAATTTGTACAAATAATTTTTGATTACATTAAAATACATTATATGTTAAATGTGTCTTACCTCCAGTTATCTACTAACTGGAACTTCGTCACTGTCATGGCTCTACTTCTATTTTCTTGGTTTATGGACATATGCTCACAATGTATTGTCTAATGCTAAAACGCTGACCCTGTAAAGGCTAGTCACCGGAGATACGCCACAAAAAAAGGTGAATACATAACCCTACAGACCATAATTTATGTGACGGCCTACTTTACTTCCAAACGTAACTTCCAAACTGATAAGTTTTAATATATGATAATAATATACATATTATTTATAATATATGTATGATATGATATATGTAGTGACAATTGGGATCTTTTAGATGAGAAGTGCAAAACATGAATTCTGCAATTGTTAAAAATTTATATTTGTTTTGTTAAATCTATATACTATATTGAAAAATATAGTCTTGAGTTAAAAAGAGGTATATTAATGTAAACTGTTTGAATGGGAATTAGAGATTTTGTTAGAAGAAAGCTAAATATAGCATTGTAAACTTATATTGTTCGTATGTCTATAATTTAATTTAAACATACATACCTGAATGATATTGTTATATGATATCATTACAAACTTTTCATGTTAAAGAGTTTAAGTTTTCTCATTGTTTTATAAAGGATTTAGAATGGGGGGAGGTATTTTAGCAATGATGATACCTAGAATATAAATAATTACAAAAGACAAATTTTTTTTATTAAATAATAAAAATTCATTGATATACTGAAATGAAACTGGTTGACACTTTTGTTATATATTATTTATATTAAGCATATTATAAGATAAAATACAAAGTAAATTTACTTTAATCGTTTTTTAATTAATTAATTTTTAACTTGCTTTTTTATTTTCGAAAAATAATCAATTTTTGTTTATTTTTTGTAAGGTAAACCAAGTTATACAATTTTTCGAAATGGAAAATGTGGTAAAAATTTTTTTATATATATTTTATATATTTTATAGTACATCTATAAGTTGTATTTTGAATTTCAAGTACTGAAAATAAATCTTGTATAGTAAAATATTTAATATATTTAATAGTTTGCTGAATTTGTCGAATTAAATATGATGATTAAATTTGTTTTAAAATATGTACATAATTCAAATAAAAGTAAAGCCCCTATAATAGGAGTATCTATTTAAATTATTGTTTAGTTTAATTTAGTTTTTTATTGTTTTTTTAATACTGAAAGTGCTTTTAAATAAACTTAGTTTAATTCAGCATCCTTTCTTTACTTAAAAATATTTACTTTATTTATTTTGACTATGATAAGAAATAAAATATGTAAATAAAAATTTCGGATTCAAGAATGTTTGTTATAGCTATATATTTTCTGAGTGTTTAATATTATTGTTATATTTTTACAAAAATAGTTTGTTGTTTTTTTTTGCTTGTTGATTTATTTCATAAATAAATTAATAAGATTCAGTTTGAATTTATAAATTAAATACTTGAATCAATTATTCAAGTTTAAAAGTTTAAAGTTGAATTATTTAAAATTAAAGAAGTGGCTATATATAATAATTGAATATTTTAATGAATATTTGTTATTTTAAATAATATGTTATTTATGTGGAAACGAATACGCGGACAAACTGGCCAGGAAAGGAGCAGCCACACTGATGATGTGGCCGGAACCTTTTTGTGGACTAGGGCATATTACGCTCCTTTCTCTCATAAAAATGAAGTATAACCAGAATAAAAATGATTACTGGGATAATACAGCAGGATTAAAACAATCCATATCATTTATTGGTACCTTTAACAATAACAGATACTTAAACTCAAACTTAGACTCATCACAGGTATCCTAACTGGGCACACTTAAACACTACTTTACAATAATGGATATACTAATGGATGCAAACTGTAGATTCCGTAAAGAGAATAAAGACTCGGCCACACATGTACTGTTAAAATGCTCTTCGCTAATGCATATACGAAATAGGCTTCTGGGAATGTATATTCCTACGGAAAAGGGAATAAAACTTCGTAAAGTAGGTTTTATACTACATTTTATTGTCGCAACAGGGCTAAGAGACCTACTTTAAACCTGGAAGGGGGCACAATAGACCCGAAGGTCGCAGTGCCCCAATAATAATACGTAGAACTTATTCATTACTTAATAAACGTAAATGGTTTTAAAACATTTACATGTCCCTCATTGACACATCTTCCTTCGTAGGTCATTCAATGTACTTTTCTAAAGCCCTTTTATCATACCACTTTCTCGAGCCCAGTGACGTTTTAGTGCAGTCAAGTTTTTTACTACAATTTAACTTTTGCACATTTACACCACGCCACTGCCGTTTTATTAGAAACAGTATTTCAGAATGGTGCTATTCAGATGGTGCTATTCAATTTTTTATTAAAATAATTAATTTGTAAAAATTTAAAATGAATTTTAATATATAAGTTATATAATATTATATTACATTACACCTTCTATAAAATAATAACTAACTAAATATCAAAATCAATATTTAACATTCGTTTCTCATAAAAACTATAACAAAAGATAGCAGTTCGTTTTTTTATAAGAAATATTTTCTCACATTTTACTGTTCAGCTGTATATAGAATACATTCAACATATTAAGCCATAATAAGTTTGTTTACACAGTTTTATTTAAGAACTTTTCTTCTCTAAAACTAATTTTAAACATTGTTTAAATTCGTTGCCATAGATAAAACTTTCTGATAGGTAAAAATATTTTAAATAAATTTTTGCAGCTGTTATCTGCTATAATAAAATGGCGAAATGTTTTCGTTACAAAAAAGTTACTGAATGCTTGAAATATTCCTTATTTATATTTTAAAATTAATGGATTTTTTATATAAAATGGTTTATTTTTATATTTTTGGAACCGTAAAAGGAAGGGTTGAGAGTTTGTGTGAATTACGCCACGTATTAAAGCCAAATTTTGATGGCAGCAATTTTTCTTATTTTTTGTAAAAGTCATTTATTTTATTTTCCACCAAATGTGAACAGTTTAACTATTCTAACGTTAGATACATAAAGTCTTTATAAGTACAAAAAAAGTAAATAAAAATTATAATAAAACTGTCAAAAAAATCATTAAAAATAAAAAAAAATTATATTAATTAAGTTTTTGTTTATAAGACATTAGAGCAATGTTACTGTATATGTTGAATTATATTCAGTTGTCTCCTGCACTGCTGTATAATTAATTATTTGGTTTCACAATTATCGTAACTTGCATATCTTTAAAGGTATAACTGGGTCTATTTCCTTTGTTCTTTTTTTATTTACCATATTTTGAAATGAAAATACTTACATTATTCATTACCTTGCTTTTTGAATATTTTTAATTAGTATTCTAATAAAATATTAAACTTAATATTTAAAATATCAGAAAATTCAATATAACGTAAATGATGTTGTATGTGAGGCGTGTAGTTTTATTTGTATTTAAGTGGTAATATATATATTAAAATGAAACTGAGTAAAAAGAGTCTTCATTAGAGCTCATTTTGTACACTTCAGTTGCCAGAACCCAATTTACATATGGGTTCTGTATGAGTGCTTAGACTATGCATAAAAATTGTTCCATATGTAAAGATCACTTCTGTACCAACTTTTTCTTCTTTTTAATAGTTCTTTACTTTAACTATCACTTGTTTCTTAGTTAATATTAAAGGCAACAAAGCAAAAGACCCACTGCAAATTTTTCTATATCCTTTTCAAAAATTACTGTATTTTTTCTACTAAAATAAATAAATATAGAACCTACTTGGCTATTTATGTCTCTGTCACATTGACTGTTTTTAAAATAATATTAAAGTCTTAACGTTAAAAAAAGGACGTATTACATTTCTAGTAACTTCTATAGAGTTTTGAGATGTAATCTGCTGTTATAAAAAATCTTCACGTGAAATCGATTTTTATATAAAAAATGGTTTTTGTATAATATAATATTAATAATAATATTAATTAATAATTAGTATTAATTATCAATTAATGATTTGTAGCTAATTATAGTTAATTAAAACACGAAATTGATAATAAAACTGTTTGCAGAAGTAGACGTAAACTGCACACAGGCTTCTTCTCTTATAAGTAAGGTACTTCAGCCAATTTATGTTGAATTAAACATTATTTTTTCGCTTTATCTTTAAATAATCTGGGGTGCAACTCAATGACAGTAGAAGTTGTAGATTTTTTTTAGTAAAGAGATTTATATCTCATATAGATTATATTTATTTTTTTTTGAAGTGTGGTGGAATTCCGAATATGAATTTTTCTATATTTTCGAAAAAATCACTATATTTTTTAAATGTTTCTATTTTTCTTAATCTATAACATCAATATTGTTAAGGTTTTCGAAGGATTGTTTAATTCTTTAGCTAAAACGAAGCCTATACATATGAAATCACTCTTCGAAACATAAACTGCAGGTATGTAGTGATTTTCTGCGATACAACAATAGAAAGCTATAGGCAAAATTGAAACTCTATAAACTTTTAAAAACTGCTTAGTTAATAATAACTTATAAATAGAAAAAACAAATATTTAAATAAACACAATAAATATTATTTAATTTTAACAAACAAAAGCATACATTTTGTACAGCGTTAGGAAAATATTCACCAAATATATAAGTTGGTCACTCATACGCACTGTTGTACCATTTAATTCCTTTTCTTCGTTGTAGAATATTAGTTGGCATGATTATTGCATTATTTTATATTAAGTCTGTTGCTTATAAAGTAACTATTGCATGATTTTATTAGATAGAAACTTTTTTAGAACTCTATTTTGTTAGCTCATTAGGTTGTGTTCCTTTATTAGTTACTTTAGAATCTTATATGTGTATATATCAAAATAGTAATAATATTAATAATGTTATATGCTTTTAATTTTCAATTTTAAAAACAGCGTCCAGCACAAGTGACCTTTCATTCACCGCAAGCACACAAGTTAAAGATGTTACCGGATTACCGGACCCAGTTGATCCTAAATCACCACAGTTGGTGGTAAGTAATTATAAATTTTAGGAAATGATTAATTTTGAAACAAAAAACATTTAGTCATTAATTTGAATTTGCGGTTTTTGTTCTAGTAATTAAAATATTAACTTTATTTAATAGGCTAACTCTCTGCGTAAATCGAAAAATAAACATGATGACCCTGCAACGCTGTATAAAGGCCCTGGTGGTTCGGAACTACCGAAGGATGTGCTTAATGATTTAACACAATTCACCCGGAAGCGCAGCCATGCTGTCATTGACGTTTGGTGGCTGTATGACGACGGTGGTTTAACCTTACTCTTGCCTTACATTATCAGCACGAGACGTACATGGCAATCTTGCAAATTGAGGTAAAGTGAAATATTTCATCTCACTTCAATATTTATGCTTAAATTAGAATTTTGTGCGCGAGTTCAAAATTATGAAATTTATGAGGTAAACGCAGTATTCTTATAGTGTTGGAATTTTAATAAAATGGTTTGCGTGCTTCACTCCAAGTCGTTTCAGTCAAAGACAAGTTTTCAATTTTTCATGAAATTGTGGGAAACAGTCACGAAAATATCTGCGATGCGTGTAATTTGATTGTTTTACAATGAAGGAAAAAATTGTTTTATAACAACACCAGGGAAGTGCTCACTTCTAAGGAAGTGCTATCCTCAGTTTGCTTAGCTTCTAAGTCCTTAACGTGTCGTAAATAAATCAATTTGATAAAGTATTTTGAAAATTGCTGGTGTTTGTGGCTGTCTATTACTATGCAAAGTTTTTGATTAAATTTTCACAATTTTCTCTTTTGCTCTATTGACTTCAGTTATTACTAAGTTAATAGTTTGATTAAAAAAATGAAGTATTTTAGTTATAATTCAAGTATTTTGAAATGTTGGAACTTAATGGAATTTTTGTAGAAATTTAAAGTAAAAGTGTGAAAAATTGAATAAAATGATTATAATTAAATTTTTATTATACACAAACAAATGAGAGGTTTTAATATTATAAAATTAAAGAAATTATTACATCAATAAAACAGAAAAATGATATATTAACTTGAGTGCTAAGAGATTAACTTGCAGCTATGCACAAGATTTCTGCACAGTAACACAATCTGCAGCTAAAGTCAGATTGTCATCATTCCATTAAATATACAAAAGAAAAAAACAAAAAAATTCTATCTTCTTTTCTACAGCAGAGAACGGAACAACTGTTTTTTGCTCCAACCTACTTCTGATTGCGGCATATTGATTGTCAAAAATCTGTAATGCTTATATGCTGAGATTCTTTTTTAAATTTTATAATTTAATTTATTTTTATTTAATTTTAAATTTTCATTTTAATACAAAAATATTTGTAATGACATATAATTTTAACATAATTTTGTAGAGTTTACGCATTGGCGAATAAAAAAGCTGAACTTGAATTTGAACAACGTTCAATGGCAAGTTTGCTTTCCAAGTTTCGTATAGATTACTCTGATTTACAATTAATTCCGGATATTACGAAAAAACCACAAGAAACATCTACACAATTCTTTAATGAGCTCATTAAAGATTTTGTGCAAAGCGAAAAAGAAAATGGACCTATAACAACAATATTAAGTGAAGAAGAAGGTAGGCCAAAAATACTTTTAACGTTTATTGCTTAATTTATGCCAATTCATAAAAAAAACTCTTTCATATTTCCGCTTATAGCACTCATCACGGAAGATGATTTAATGGCAGTACAGGATAAAACTAATCGTTACTTGCGTTTACGTGAATATTTGCAAGAGCAGTCAACTAAATCTGACTTGGTCGTTATGACTTTACCCATGCCACGTAAGAATATTGTATCGGCGCCGCTTTATATGGCTTGGTTGGAAAGTCTAAGTCGTGAAATGCCTCCATTCCTATTCGTACGTGGCAATCAGACCAGTGTGCTGACATTCTATTCATAGACATCTAAAACAAGAATGAAACTATGTGCAAAATTATCTTTAATTAGAACAGCTTGGTCTTACTGACTTGCAAAAATGAAATAGATGCAGAAATATTTATATTTGTTTTGATTTCTTAAGTAGCCGCACATACTAAATAATTGACTAGAAAATTAGTTTAAACATTTTGAAAAACAAGCATATTCTTATAAGAAATTTGTGAAAATGTAAAAGAAAAAATTAATGACAATTTAATTATATATGAATAGTTTAATTTATTTATAAAATAAACTACGCACTTTCACATGTGCAATTATTAATTATAATAATAATTTAAGTTAGTCTAATTATCTGACAATACATCTCTTTGTAGAATTTTAATTTTTTCATAGCTTAATTAATGTTTAAATATCAAACGAATTTGTTTTATGTTTTTGTATTTTTAAAAAGAATTATTCTTCTTATATTATAAATTGTACTTGATTAACATTACACATTCGAATTAGTTTTTGTTAAGCTTAAATTTATTATAGTATTTTATATTTACACTTTTAATGAAAATAAACATTTTACTTTAAGAGAAACATATTGTGGTTATTTAATAATTATTCTGCAAAAGGTTATCACATATAGAAGTGATGCCACCAAAAAGAACTTTATTTATCAGACCAAGCTTTGTTTCGTGCCTTAGTAGTCTTGCTAGAGATTACTGCTTGTGACTACAGTTGCGATGCTTAGTATACTAGGTGGATTGATAATTACCTAAGAAGTGTCGAGAACTACATTGAAGCATAAAATATAATTTTCCAAAAAAATTCGTTTTTATTACTTAGGCCGTGTATTTATCAATCAATCTAGTATGTATTCCATATAAGTAACTTAGACGTGACTTTTTTTAGATAATTGTTTATCAATTTAAACGAAATCAATTTTTGCGAAGCACTGCAAAAATTATATACATTTAAATACATAAATACATTTCTGCTGGCAATGCTATGCCACAACCACAAACTATAAATGGTATAAACACTTTTAAGGAGGTCAGAAAAACTAGAGTCCTGGTCATTCTAACACAAACATGAATCATAAAAACGTAATATAGTGTTTGTTAGTAGAAAAAAAAAACATGTTGTTGTTGTTTTGCTGTAGCCCGCCGGTAACTGAAAAGCAGATAACATGTAAGGATTACAAGACGAAGTGAATGCATGGATGAAGTTAGAGTTAAGGAGATAATGGGAAGGGAGGAAGGGGGAGCATATAATTGAAATTAACGAAGAACCAAGGTTCCAAGAACGGCCGGGTTTACATCCCGGAGCCACTCATCGAAGACGACTTAGCACTGTTCAACATCCCCCAAAGGAGTCACACAAGCAGGTATATGTTTGTTTGACATTTGTCGTTTGAATATAACCATCAGAGAGGTTGGAGAAGAAATTAACATACCATACCCTTCACTTGAAAAGGCTTTAACGATTATTTTAATCGAATAGTTATTTTACTCAAATAGTTTATATCAGATATTTTCAAATAGGAAATTTTATATTTGCTTATCTATTTAAATAATATATTTCATATAAAAATTTGAACTAAATTAAAGTTAAATTTTGTGCAGCTCAACATCTTTTTATTCACATTTATCATTCCAGTTCTTTCTACATTAAATTAAATAAACAAATATATAAAAATACAAACAATTCTCATATTTACATTGAAACCGAGCTTTTTGATTTATTTAAATAAATTCTTTCAAATTTCTTTGAGATACAAGATATCTATGTAATTATTAATGAAAATGTATTTTCTGTGAAAATTTGTTTGTGAATAAAGAAGCCTTGTCGTCTTTGTAGATACTCTTCTATTGAGTTACAAAAATATTACACAGAGATGTAGTGATTAATATTGCTGAATAAAAAGAAAATTCATTTAACCTTATTCAAATTACTTAATTACGAAGAAATGGCAGGTAATTCCTTTATTTATTCATACTTATTAAGTTACTTCCATATAACTTTTAAGTAATTACTAAATAATATTTTGTGCTAATGACATGACTTGGTATTGAGATAAATTTCTTTACTCAGCAGCTGTGATGTGGCTGTTTCAGTTAAGGTGACAAATTTTTTACATCAGAGCTCTGACATCTTTGATTGAGTTTACTTGACCTAAAAAAATACACGGAAATTTTCCTTTGATGTGAAAATAAATTAATGAAATTTTTCACAAATAAAACTTCGTTTTTGACAATAAAAATTGTGTACGTCGAAGTATTTCAACTATTGTGTGTCGCTGAGGAACGTAGTAAGTCAAGCAAAAATCCATAAAGTTTACAAATGTTTCCTTGTGAACGTGCATTGAATATTTAATAAAATCACAAATCAAACGTAAAATTATTTTGAACATTTTTTAGAGATGTGAAATCAAAATAAAGAACTTTTATATACGCAATAAAATAAAGCACAAAAAAAAAATAGACACTGAAAAATGCGGTTCAGATATGTTTTTAAGAATAAATGTTAAAATATTAGCATTTAGACATGTCAACTGGTAGTTGATGATTACAAAAAAAAGAAGAAAAAGAGCTGACGTGTAAATTCTCTCATGTTCAAAATCCTGAAACCCTGAAATAGAATACCAAATTACTTTAAAACGAAAAAAAAATTTGATGTGAAAAAATATCCTTTAAGATTTGTAGAAAACTAACTCAGTATGACATTTTGTGCTTCATATGTCACACAGTTTTTCGGAACGGAGCTAAAATATTTTTATATACTCGTAATTGCTTTGGTTTAAAAAATAAAAAATAGAATGATATTTGATTAAAACATTTGCTTATTTATACAGTTAAAAATACAAATGAAATTAAAATATTTTAAGGCTTCTGCTTTAACTTAATACAGTACATTTGGCAGCGCTTAATATCTTACTTCAATTTGAATAATAATTTTTTTATTCATTCTAAATAAAAATAATAAATCAAACGATATTTTTTTTTTTGTGAGACTGTGAGACTTGAATCCACTAAAACCACCTCTTAGGAATGTATGGAGTGGATTTCCACAGCAATATGGAAACTTCATTCCAGTAATCAGGGAGGAGAGATGAGAACAGAGGCTAAATACCTAGTGCACTAGGTTCATCTAAGCCAGTAAGCATTAGTAAGCATTCACTCCCTCAGTGAATTAGGGAGTGTGGGAGATACTGAAGAGGGTTGGGTTACGGCTAGTACGAGGGGTGATATTAACGGTAGACTTTGTGGCCAGGGTCACGAAAGCCGCGGTTACAGAAGGAGATGACAAAGTAATGGTATAGGTACTGCGGAGGTTAAAAGCTCAAGGTTTGAACAAGGTCTTCAGGGAGGGTGATGGAAATGGAGACGTTAGGGGGGAGGTCGTGAAGTCAGGTGAGGTACTTACGGGCGAGTGACAAAAGGTACTCGTCAACACGAGTAAAGAACAGAGACGAAAGAATAGAGACGGGGAAGTGCTTGCCGTAAGGGTTGCACTTATAGTTGGTTCAATCGTTAAGAAGTGAGAAAAAAATACTTTGAACACAAAAATATTGATTCTATTCGTACAAATAATATGTAATTTAAAGAATAGATCAGTGAAGGATTTACCTAACTGACGTATATAGTTGTTGACAGATAGTTTTACGACAATTATCTTGTATAAGCATCTTGTAATTATGATAAAAAAATTCAGTATAAAGTTAAAAAGGTTGTTAGTGTCATTATTAGTATTAGTATATGCTGCACATTTATATTAAGTTTTTTTTTTATTTTAAATCATAGTGCAATCTACTGTATCTACTATCATATTTGAAAACGTATTTTCTTAAAAAATATCTTTTTTGAATGTACTATATATGCAAAATTAAGTTGTGGACTATAACAGCTAATAGTATACCATCGGTAACTATATGAGAGATCAGATAAATTTAAATTAAGAATATATATTTGTGTAGTGTTACAAATCTGTTTATTTAAGTAATTTTAAGTTTTATACTACTGAAACGAAATTTGAAGAATAATACCTTCAAGATTTTCAAGTCAAAATTCGTGATAATTAATTTATTTGAACTTTGATCAGGCTTGTAAATCAATTGTTTAGTAAAAAATATAGAATCTCTGCTTGTTCTTATTTTTTATTGCACTCCTTATTTATTTTTTTTATCCTACAGAATGCATAGCATTTTATGTACGTTTATTATAATAGTATAATTAATATTAATGAATTTGTATATGTGTTTATATATTTATTAATATAATTGAATATAATTATATTTTTTGTTAACAAATTATACAATTTTAAAAAATGGAAAATTCATCCTATGACCCGCTTACAACGGCGATTATTAGAATATTTTGAAGGGACTTTATATATTGAGTTCTCTATTCACTTTATTGCAATTATAAATACTTGTACATTCATAATCGTAAGAATCACATTTTTTATTAATGAAAAAGATCTGTAAATTTTGAGATTTTGAAGTTCAGAAAACTCATCTTCCATTTCAATATATGATTTTCTCGCAATAGTGAATGTTAAAAAATTTCGAAGAAAATTTGTATGAAAGCGTGCTGTACTCATTTTATAACAATAATAAATACCTGGCACTTGCAGTCCAAACAAATTATATACGGACTATAAACTAATTAAATAAAATTCGACTATTTCCAAAGACCACTGATGAAGAGTACTTGGCAATACTCGAAACAGCGTTGTATGGTCAGCCAAATTTCAATAAATTAAATCAAAAAAAAAATTTTTGTCTTTGCCTTTCTTTGCTATTCGAATCGGTCTAAATAATAAATACCTTTTTTAAAAAAATACAATACTTAAAAAGTAAATTCTTTATTTTCATTTTGTTTAAATGTATATACATCATGCAAATATTTTTTTTAAAGTGGCTATCAACGTGGAGGAATGCTAATTTAATATACAAAGGAAACTAAAGTTTAATGTCCTCGTAATCATAAAAGTATTGCGACTTTCGGTTTACTGGCATATGACAAAATTTTTCTAAAAGGTGGCTGCACTTCATATCATTCACTCACATGAAATCATTGAACTTTAGCTTTTAACTCTCGAGAATTTTATACAAATTATTGCCACAAAGAAGTGGCATTGCGGATACGACCTTAAATTTTTGTCATAGAAAATATTTTAGAATTTAAAATGTTTTCTATAAACTCAGTTATATAGTAAATGTGACAAAATGTACTAAAATTTTTGC